CTTACACGTTCCGATTGGGAATGTAATTGGATACAGGTGTTTACATGGTTATTGTTCTTGTATTTAACGAGTTATTTACAGGATTATCCTGTAACCTCGGTCAATAACATAGAAATTGTATTTCAAATGGCCTCAATCGGACTAGTCTGTTCCAATTGAGGTGTATATATGGACGTATTCTATTCTGATTGAGCTATTAGTCGGACTATTAGCGGATTATTAGGCTGCATGTAAACATGGTTAGTGTGTGGAGTTTTCGCATAGACTCGTACCAGAGCCAAAGTTGCATAAAACTCTGTAAGAACCTTTGGTAACACATTTTTTATGTCTGTCTCATCCTTACACTTGGGTTGTTATAGTGTGAGGGTTGATGTTTCAAATTTACACTATATAGTCATGTATTTTGAACAATCACTGACAAAATTCAGCAAGTGCCCATTGGTGTCTATTATAAGTGTCTTTTTCAAGTTAGCAGGTTTCTTGTTCTTTCTAAGCACTGGGAAATGCTTTAAAATTAATTTCTGTGGTAACAGAACATATACTATACATGCCGCAGACAGAGACTGGGTTGAGGAATGCTGAAGTATCCCTTTAATTTATCCATATTTTGTTATTCATATGGTTAGGTTGGTTAGTCAGTGGTTCTTAGCTTTAGTCCTGGGCACCCACTGCTCTGCAAACCTAAAGGTATTCCTCAACACATCTGATCCGGCTCATAAAGTAATTTTGAAGCCATTCATAGATCATGTATGGAGAGGAGGACAGTAGAGCAGACAGGCATTCTTATTGGCTTCATATCTTGCGACATTTTTACTGTGAAAGCGAGTAAAGAATGTGGCTGGGACTTCCATCCATGCCAGGCCTGCGGATGACACATGGCCGGAAATGGATATGCTTGATATCTGAGGAAGCCAGCATTTGTGCTGGAGCATAGCATACCATGCACTCTAATGGCTCTGTGGTCTCTATTGGATCCTGTCTGACTTCAATATACTCTAAGTGGCCTGATGAAGCCTTGTACTGTGGAACAACAAAGTACAGTGTACTCTTCCTTTTTTGAGCATCTAACAATAAAGAAGCTACTTTTCTATTTTCCTATTTTCCGATTTATGGCACACACAGTCTTTCTCTTGCTTTATGTGTTTTTTTTCTAATGGTTTCCTTTCCGAAGATTTTGAGTCTGTTTACAGTCAGCGACCACCCTTTCATTTATTTAATAATGACCCTTATGTACAAGTTGTTCATTTTTCAGCATCCAAAAAAGCAGAAAACACATATTTAACAAAAACATTACACAGACGCCTCAACAACTAATTTTAGCATCAAAGTTTTCAGCATTTATTCTGTCCACCCTTACCGTTATTATTTTCTATTTTCTTTAGACTTGCTCTCAGTTTTTCTAAAAAATCTGCTGCGATATTTTCCACACCTCCAAAGTTCAGTCTTAAAAGTTGGTTGCGTTTTCTGCTTCTCAGAATCCAAAAAATCGCAAACACTTTTAGTGATGTTGAGGTCTGGACTTGTGGTCAGTCCATTGTTCTGAGAACACCAGCAGCTTCTTTTTGCTATGCAAATGTTATTCTCTTTTGAATATTTACATTTCTATTTTCCTTTTCACAGCTACACATCCTTTCAGACTCATAGTGTTGAGCTGTCTTCTCACAGTGGAAGGATGGACAGAAACACCTGTGGATTTTTTCAGATCTGAATCAAGAGTGGAGCTTGATTTTCTCTCAAAGACGAGACGCTTTAAGAACTGTTTATCTGATGGTGGCAGTTTTGGTGGTCTGTCAGGTCTTGCACAGTTGTGATGAGTTCTATTTTCTCCAGATCATTAAATCATTTTTGAACAACGTTTTGTCTGTTTTTCACTTATTTTCCTTTCACTTTCCCCTTCATTAAACAAGTGGATTATCTTACATCCAATCTCATGAAAAATGAATAACTGCAAAATGTAACTTGCTTGACTTGAACTGAAGGTCTCTGACTTTTGCACAGTGTTTTGTGTGTGTGTGTGTGTGTGTGTGTCAGCCTGTTCCAATGTCCCTGCTCAATTTATAAGATTTTCCCCTTCATGTGGTATGAGGGTCAGGTGAATGAGGTTTGGAATATTAATATCCCCATGGCCGTTTGGCTGTGTTTTGACTGTAGGCACTTCAGACTCTGTGCATGTCTCGTGTCTCTCCTATTTCTGTCTGGTAATTGAGAATTCTGTCCTGGAGTCAACATTCCACTGTAAAAACAGCCTAATTAATTTGATTAAAAACCTAAATTCAGAGTTGACTGACTGTGAGAAGAAGACTTGCATTAAGAAGAGCTTGATGAGAGGGCAAGGTCTGTGAGTGTGTGTGAGAGAGAGGGAGAGGGAGACAGAGAGACATAAAGTAAGAGAAAGAAGAATGTGTGTGTGTGTGTGTGTGTGTGTGTGTGTGTGTGTGTGTGTGTGTGTGTGTGTGCGCATGTGTGTGTGTGTGTGTGTGTGTCATAAATGGCCAATTAAGGAACTAATTAATTCCAGTTCTCTGACACAGGAATTTTAAAATGGAACTGGGGAGCTGCCTAAGATAGAAGGCTCAGCCTCATTATATGTTCCTGCAAATTTCAATTAAGTTGAAATAGGCTGAGCTATTCCTGCATACGACCTCATCCAGTACAGTAGATGCAGAAAACGGATAAAAGCTAAAAATGTAAATCAGGATTTGGTAAAAGTAAAAGCCTGCTACTGTACGATAACGAACCACTTAAAACTGCCAAACTGCCATTTTTATTCACTGTCTTCTTACTGTCATAAAAATTTGCATGCTTCCAAAATGGAAAATTTATGAAAATGGAAAAGTGCTCTTGGCTTAATGTATGCCAATACAATGCAATGCTACTGCAAGAATTTTTCTCACCATTTCTATTGGTCCATTCACCATGAAATTCATAGAGTGTAATTGGATGGTGTTTTTAAATGATGTAAAAAGAAATAAATGATGGCAATAATGTCCTTTTGAGTAGAGCATCTGTCCTTTTTAATGCTGTTAATGACCTAAAATGGATTGGAAGAGTAGACCTTCTGCTGCGATACCAGTACTGATAAGACTATTGTGGAAAAAATGATGTAGATCATTCACATTTGGATGCTTTGGCTCAGTTATGATGATGTGATGTAGCTACACATAACACATTACTTCATTACCTGACTCTGAGCTCTGAAATATTCCTGATGCTGTAATTCCAGATTGTTCCAGTCGTGTTTTTTCTCTTCATAGTCTTGAAGATGTTATTTATCCTGTTGATTCTGAGTAATTACTGTTGTATACCCACATTTTCTTGTCTTTCTGAAATCTTGAAACCATTAATAAATTTAATGATGTGTCCTAAATCATTTATGACAATAGAAATGGCTTTCTCTGTAAATACTCTTTCCTAATCTTTGCATTTATACTCATGTTAATCTTTATATCTTTGCATTTGAAGTCTTTATGGGATTCTAAATGAAAGAGAAAATTGTTAATGATAAAATAATAATGATGTATGATGACATAAACCATCACTTATATCATTATTATTTCAAATCCATTTAGCTGAATAAAGACAAAGTACATGAAATTAGGATTCATTTACATGAGTAGCTTGTGGTTTATATTTAAATGATGGAAACTGTTTGGTTAATTTCCCTTTCTGTATTGGATGTATATTTGACTCTACATTGTCGTGCACTTCACTTTGGTTCCTTCCATACAGGCCACTATGATTTGTGTTTTTCTATTTTTTTGTATTTTCAAATGAGCTTCACATTCAATAGAGAGACGCTCTATCTGCTACTTGTCTGTAGGGCCTTGTTACAGAAGTTTGAAACATGACATTACATTCTAAGTGACAGGCAGAAAAGATTATTGTTGTGCTGGCACACTCTGTTGCCTCCAAATTTAGAAAGATGGCATTCTACTTCAAAGCACGTTTGATTTGGAATGAGCTTCAGAAATTGCAGTGTTTAATCTAACTATAACAGTTCAAAGCATTGCTCCATGGCCATCTCACATGGGAGCACCTTTTTATGTGAGGGTGGCTTTCATCTTTACTTTATTGCATGTATTTTTAATAACTATACTGTTGTATTTTAATGAGGTCAGATCAGGGTTCCACTGGGCATGAGACTCAGGTCTCAGTTGGGTTTCTCCATACTGTAAAAGTGAGATTAGTTTTAGACTTGTCATTATACAGTGTTTTCCATCTCGAGAAGCAGGTTACACATGGAGAAGTTTTGCTGTAACACGTCTCAGACTTTGAATCAGCAGAATGAAAGCTGTAGTGGCCTTTTTAATTGCTTAAAAATTGGACTACCATCGTTTTCTAGAGCAGGCCTGTCCAGAGAAAGATTTGATTTGGCCTGCCAGAAAGACTTCCTAACTCCCTCTCCCACTAATCCAATGAAAAAACACATGCATTTTATAAAGCTTCTAATGTTTCTTCAAAGACTTCAATATAAAGTACTTTTAGTAGCAAAACATACAGCCTAAAATCTAAAAATCTATGACCCTTGACTGCACACAATTGTCACCACACAGCTACTGTCACCAAAGGAAATGAAAGTCTAACATTCACTATAGACATATAAATATATATATATACACACACACAAACACACACACACGTTTGGATCCCAACATCACCAAACCAGTAATAAAATAAAATAATAACAAAAATTACTTAAAAATAAATAAATAAAATAAATGCATAAATATTTAGCTGGTAGAATCCTCCGTTCTCCCTTCAGACCTCCTTATTTTCCCACCTGTATTTACACAAGCCCCGCCTCCTCCTGCGCTGCGATTTGCTAGTAGTTCACACGTTCAAACACACCGCCCATTCAGAGTCAGTGTGGACTACTAGCCAATCACAGGGTAGGGGGCGGGGCCTGGCGCAGAACGGGTGGGGAAAACAACAATAGACAGCGCCAGCCTATCAGCTTCGCCGCTGCGGTCACGTGGCCATTCGTCTTTCTCTCAGAGCGGAGCGGAGCCCAACTCAAAGCTGAGCAGCGGCCGGACAGAGAAGGAGCTTCAGCGTCTTAACGGAAACGGGGAGTATGTTAGCGAGAGTGAGGAGAAAACGAAGGTCAGTAAAGAGGGGAGTCTGAGGTAAAACTGAGAAAACCAAGATGAAAACGCGTTCGTCCCCCTCAGCCTTGTGGTAACGACGAAGCGCGTGGTCTTCTGCGGGTGTTTGGTGTTAGCGGAGCAGCCTCGTGGATGGAGAACACGTAAAGTGGTGTGAAAGTGTGTGAAGAGCGGACATGAGGGCCGTTTCGCTGAACTCGCTGGCGCTGCTGCTCCTCTGCACTCTCGCCTGCGTGCTGCACCTGTGGGGCGGCTTGGAGAAGCGCTTGGAGCGGCGAGAGCGGGACCTCGTATCGTCTACGGCCAAAACTTTCCGAGCCCTACTTGCCGTCCCGGCCGCGCGGACCACCTCCCGCTTCTTTCCCCGCGCTCGGACTAACGCTACGGCGGGGAGTGGGGATGAAAACAAGACGCTCGTGAGCGAGGACGTCGGAGCGAGGGCAGTCGAGCCGTTGGAGGACGGCGTGTTTTGGAGCCGCAGCCTCGAGTCTCGCCTTCCCGCCGGTTTCAGCGAGGATCGCGCGCGCGCCTGGAGCCTGCGTGCGCGAGCCGAGCATGTGCTCTCCCTCGAGCCGGGCTGCGGCAGGACGTCCAACCAGCTGGCCACGTTCTCGGACGGCAGCAGAGCGTGCGTGCGCTACGGCATCAACGCCGAGCAGGTGCAGGGGGAAACTCTGGCTTATTACTTGGCGAGGCTGCTGGGCATCTCCAACGTGCCTCCTCTCGTGCTAGCACAGCCCAGCGCGGAGCAGTGGGCGCACGTGAGGAAGAGGGTGGACAGCCTGCAGTGGTCAGGACGAGCTGTAGTGTCCATGACAGAGTGGATCGCCAACTTGAGTGGGACGGTGACCCCTGCGCCCCTGCGGCCGGATGGCAGTGGCCTGCGCCCCTCATCGGACTTCAGCAACCAGACTGAGGTGGACCTGCTTGAGCTAGCTCAGTGGAGCGACCTTGTCGTGTTTGACTACCTGACGGCCAACTTCGACCGGCTGGTCAGCAACCTGTTCAGCCTGCAGTGGGACTCGCGTGTCATGGAGCGGGACACAAGCAACCTGCTGAAGGCGCCCCATGGTGCCCTGGTTTTCATAGACAACGAGGCGGGCCTAGTGCACGGCTACCGCGTGCTGGACATGTGGGAGAGGTACCACAGCTCTGTCCTGAGGTCCGTGTGCGTTTTCAGGAGGAGGACGGCCCAGCGGGTCGCAGCTCTGCACCGGTACCGGGACGTGCGGGCGCGCCTCTTCGAACTGTACCAGGACAGTGAACCCCTGGCTGCACAGCTGGGCTTTTTGTCCGAGGAGCACGCCAGGATATTACAGGACAGAGTAGACAGAGTCTACAGGCACATATTGCACTGTAAAGGGAAGTACAACCAGCTGTAGTTTTTCCGATGTGCAGACCCTTTTCCAAAAATGAGTATGAATATAGACCACTGGTTGTGAAGGTGACCATGCCAATATCCAACTCATGAACTGTGTTCAACTCTCTGTAACTTTTCAGCATCTGGCTGGACTACCTCTTGTGGGGACGGACCTCAAACGTGTCTAAGTAACGTCTTGTTTTGTATGAGTTTCCACGACAAGAAAACATGTTTTGTTTTCGAAAAGTCTTAAAACCTTAAACTCACTGAGCATATTGCTTGAGATAGAGTTAATCGGTTAGGCAATGCAATAAAAGCCTAACTGCAGTCATGCATTGGTTAATTGTTGTGGTTTGCTGCTTCCACCATTTTGGTGATATATTAGGCTGTTTTTCTGTTTTTTATTTGATGGAAACAAAGCTACAGCTGAATTAACAGGAGTTGGACAGCTCTTCTGTGTTTTATTGACATGCTTTATTCTTAAATACTTTGGAAAACGTTGTGGGTCACTGTAGTGCTGAGTTTGGTTTAATGGTCATATTCACACTGTTACAGAAGTAGATTAAGATGGTCGCCTTTTATTGTTACTCTTGCACAGCTTTACAATTCATAGCCTTAATGAAGTGGTGGGATGTCTGTTGATTTTGAAAATGTGTTGTGGGATTTCGCTTTGTGAATTCTGAACTCTATTTAACTAATTTAAGTCACAATATGTGATAACATTCCAGTTGTTTTTTTGTTTTTTTTTATTGGACAACAAAAACCTGTCATTTTTACATGCCATTAAATCTAGTGGAACTGAAGTGTTTCACTAAGCCGAATGCTGCTGGTGCTGATCTGGAGTCTTCTTTCCTACACAGAACAACAAAACATCTTGTGAGAAAGACTCTCTGAGTTAGACAGTGTTGCTGTTGTTACATAGGAATGCCACGCCTAAGCACTCACATTCTCAGCCAGTAACATTTTACACACTCCTTTTTTTATACTTCATACAAGGCTCTTTTCTTCACAGTGCACATCACACTCCACACAGGCTCAGTGGAGAATCATTCTGATGCTGCATACACAGTGCTATTTTATTTCAGGGCCACTGGTACCAACTATGCTCAAGACAAGCTGACTCCTAACCAGATAAGTTTACATTCGCAAGTTGTGATCAGTGGCTTCAATCAATGAGTCTCAAAGGACTGGGTTTTTATGCACGAGAGGCCATTGTAATTTGATGACTCAATGTGTGGTGTTAATTGGAGTTGCTAACTGCTAGGTCAAGCCCTGTGATGCACACTGCGAGCAAAGCGGAGCTCTTTTCCTGTTTGTTCACTCATCAGTGAACAGAATCTAATTTTAATTTTATCCCATGCAGCGCGAGGGCCTAATTTGTTTGGATTTATTATTGATTTGCTTGGGCTTGGGCTCAAGTATCTGTGAAGCCATCTTGAGTTAATGGACTGATTCCAGATCAGATAGCTTTGGATTTATGACAGTCATGGTCACAAAAACTGATTCTAGATCAGCACGCCTACGTCTTGAGGTGGTTTGTGAATTCAGACCCAGAGCTGCTAGTGGAGGAGGGTTGGGAGATGCTCCTCAAAACCTGTCGAGGAATCAACGATCAAAGCTACTCTAATGCGTTCCAGTCTGTACTCACATCTGGTTCAGATTATGATGGACACACTCACACCTTTGTTGATTTCCTTGGGGCTTTTTCATCAGCCCATCCTGCCCAGATGCGGATTTGTATGGAATACACTGTCTGCTGTATCAAAGGTTCAAGATTAGCCAAGGAGGAACTTCAGATTCTGTGGCTAGCATTTAACTCGTGGTTGATCTCCTCTGCTTCTTGTTGATGTTGGCGCTTAGCGTCATGATACACCTAGCTTCAGCTCAAGTAAATGCAGCTATAGGGAGTGTATTGTCTGCTCTTGTGGTAATGGGGATAGAGAAATCGAGATGTGTGTAGACTGAGTAAGGGTGCGGATCAGCAGCAGGGTTAAGATGGGTTATTGTGCTTTGGTATTGCATGCAGCTGGGCGTCTCGCTCTGAGGCACGTCTGTCGTCGCTAGGAGCTGGGAGAGATTTACGAGAGTCTACAGACACTGGGGATTACAAAAACAATGCAAAGCTGAGCCCTGCTTGCTTAAGCCAGACACAAGCAACTTCTACACACGCGTGCTTACACAATTCCATAAACACTCATATCAGCCCCTGTATGTGTGCCATGTTGGTGAAGTGGAAAAGGAAAGCTGTGCTCTCCTAATGAGTCCCCCTTTTGCCTTTTTAAAAAATTCTCCCTCCTTTAACAAGCTCTCGTGCTGGCTTTAATAACAGTTGTGGCTGAAATAAAAGCCATCGTTGCTTTTCTGGCTTTTACGTCTTGCTGTTTGCACGTGTGCCCCCTGCTCCATGTCTGGGGTTTGTTAACTGCTCGCCTCATGCCACAAAACCACACAAACGTCCCCAAGCAGAACCCCCTGTCCCTGTTCACCAAAGCCCCCTGCTGTGCAACATGACCTGGTTACCATTCTACCCCCACCGGTCACTGCAGAGGCCGATGCTTTTATTCAGTCCATCTGGGCTGTGTGTTCTAATGGCAGGCCCCACTGGCCTCTCTGCTTGATCATACTGTCAGCAGTGGGATTGGGTCTGCTTAAGGACAGCCTTGGGGCAAAGCTGGCCTTTTAGTGCTGATCTAGGACCTGCTTCATTGAGCCTCGCTGCAACCATAAAGCCTTGACAGCGAATACTTTAAAAAGTGCTCTCAGGTCAGCAGTAAAAGGAAGCCTCATGTTATAGATAGTTCCAGGTGGGAATTTCGTGACTTGTCCTATCCTGTTCGTGATGTTACGCAGTATCAGTGAAGCTTTCTGGATGCGGCTCAGGCTGCAGGTAATCACAGGGCCTGCTCTTGTTGCCTAGTGGCTCAGGGGAGGCACCCACATTGCAGACATTCCAGAGGAAGCTGGGGTGGATCTCTGCATACATTCACCCTGGGGCAACAGATTTCCAGAGTGCCAGAGACCCAGCTGTTTACCAGAGCTTCTCTGTCAGTGGTGAACTGCACATCTGGCTTCTTCGTAAGTCTTGCTGATTAGTTTAAGCAAATCTTAATCAAACAAATGTCAGATGGCCATGCTACATGGGTTTTACATTTTTTTGTCGGTAATGAATATAGTTTAAATTCAGATACTTTTTTTTTTAGTTTTAAGTTTTTTATCGTTTAAAGAAAATTACGCTAGTTGAAAATCTAGCTGCCCTTACATTGTGTTAAATTTCGTAATGAAGTGGTCCATAATTACTTGGTGTTACATTGTGTCATAACTTAACATGTTTTTTTCCGCCTGAAAAGTTACTGTTTTGTACAAACACCAAACTTTTGTTACCATAGCAACAATACATACAAGTGTAAAACATACCAGAACATGCCTGGGCTGTTATCAGGTTAATAAAATAATAGTACAAAATATTTGCAATTCATAGTAAAAGTTAGCTTTTTAACATGAAAGACCTTCTGCTGGGTTTCAAGCAAGTAGTAAACCTATCAGAACAAGAAAAAATTCTATTTCTGTTTCTGATATATCAAGCATTGTTAGCCACAATAATGTGAAAAACTAATATGATTGAAAACATATTCTGTTAAAAAATAAAAGGTCCTGGGTCACTGTCATCTGTTGTACTGTGCTCTGTTATAGGCTTCACACATAAAGGACAAAAAAGAGCAATTAGGCTGGTACAGAACGCTCCCATGGGAAAGTGCGTGCTTGACTTGTGCCCCGGCCAGTGTGTGTGCATGTTCGGCATTCTCTGGGTGCCACATTGCAAACTTTCTATGCGTGAGTGATTTGATTATGGCACAAACACAGCCGAGAGAAAGTCACTTAGCCACACTCGGGTGGGCAAGAGCCAGTGCAGCATGGCATGAAACCTGGCAGGCAGGATGCCATTACTCACTGTGGGTCAATGACTAAAGTCTCTAGGACCCTTACCCGAAGCGCGTGTGTTGATCCTGGCTCCGAGGCCAGGGCAGACTTTAAGTGTTATGAAAGCTAGCTGATGATGCAGTAATTTGGAAAGTAAGATGGAAACAGTGCTACAGGGTTTTAAGAACATCATGGAGATTCAGTTTCAGAAGCTGGAGGAGAGAAAAATGTTGACGTTTGTCAGCTTGGTGAAGAGGGAGCGCTTGAAGTGTTTCACATCCTTTTATCAATACCAGACACAAGCTTTCTTTGACAGGTTGAGTGAATTTAACCTCACCTTCACTCCTAATATCTATTTTTCTGTTTGTCTATCGATCATTCTCTCTCTCTCTTTCTCTCTCTCAGTGCACCTGCACCTACAAACAGAATCAGTTCAACACTCAATCCCTTATGTTTATTTTTTGCTTTTATGGCCTCAGAAGGAGAGAAAAATAATACAGTAAATTGTCTGATGTATATTCCTTCTCATACGCTAGATCTCCCTCAGGTGTCTCTTCCACTAAGTTGACCATGCATTGAAATGCTGTACATAGGTATTGTTCTTATAAACCTTCTATAAATCTTCACTTCCAGAATTCCCAGCTTTCACTTTCGCTTGATTGACTAGGAAAGTAAACTGTGTTGATTGACATGCTCACTGGATTTGCGTAATTCCTGAGGGCGAAGCTTGTTGGTTCATCTGCGCAGCATTGAGAGAATCATCTCCAGCAATGAGGCAAGTTTTTCTGCATTTGCATGAGCCTCATCAAAATGTAAATGGAGAATTTCTTGTTAAGAAGAGTGTAGTGTGGGAGGAGAAAAAAAGTAAAAAATGTAGTGAGATAAGAACAACCGATTCTGATGGTATCTGTCATTATGAATTATGAGTCTAACTATCTTTCTGGACTTGAGTATGGCTTCCGATTTGTATTACTATGCAAATGTCCTGCTGTGGATTTATGGTTCGAGTTGAGCCGGGTGGGAGTAGGAAGACCATTTTGAATGAGCAGGATGGGCACGTGATTGTGTTTTTATAGCACAGAGGTGGGGGGGTGGTCCATCTTCACCACTTGTAGTCCACATACACCATCAAGGACTGACATGTAGAACATTAATAGTGAATCCATGTAGCAGTCAATTATGATGATGGGTGCTGTCGACAGTATTAGTGTGGGCAAAGAAAGAGAGAAAAGCTCTCAGTCCTTTCAGAAGTGTCCAACATTATGACGTGTGTGGGTGATTTTCTTTGCACTGCTACTTAGCGTAGCGTACATGACTTATGAGAGTAAAGAAGAAGCTCTGCTTGTTTCACAGATGTGTCTCTAGGTCTCTCCATTCTTTCTCTCATCTCACTTTTTTCCATCTTGGCTTCATCCAGACCTGATCGATTAGACAAGGCACAATAGGATATTTCGCATTCTTTCAGCTAAAGCCTGCGAACTGCTGAATCGACATGCTATGGCGAGCAACAGAATCGACACATTATGGCTGGCCGGCTACTGCCTTAATGCTCTAAGTTGAAGGTACTTAATGTGCCAGAGGCATGTGTGCGTTCAGTAGTCTCTTTGAGTAATCACATAATTCGGTTTGCACAGGGCCATGGTAATACAGCCATTTCTATGTAAATTGTGCTTTGTGCTGCACTGCGGGCGGTATCAGAAAGCAGAAAAGTCGGCGACTATGGAAATAGCATACTTGGCAAGTCAATGTGATGACAAAGACCGTGCTGCTACATGCAAGGTGATTACAAGTGCATTGTTACAGTAGTGCAGTTAGTCTGTAGCATATGGCAGTTTGGGTTGCCCAATCCCTCAGTGCTTATCCCTCTTGTTTGGCTGAGAGATGGTTCAGTGGGAGAGAGATAGCAGT